AACTCCTTCTTCAATAATGTACTGCCGGCCAATAAAATTTATATTCATGAAAGAAAATCGAAATTTAATACAATCTACAGAAAAACATTTGTCTCAGCAAATCGACAAACTTGAACCATATTATTTCAAAATTGACAACTTTGATGTTGAAGTTCATTTCAAAATGTATTTAACAATGATTGATGGAGCAGTCGTAAATGTATTAACTGAAAATAGATCTTGTAGTACTTGTTATCTTTGCAATGCCACCCCTGCAAAAATGAATATTTTAACTGCAATTACAAGCCCACCAAATGAATTAAATCTTCAGTATGGATTATCAACGTTGCATGCCTGGATAAGAAGTTTTGAGTGTGTATTAAAAATTGCTTATAGAATACCTTTAGGGTGCTGGAGAGTTACTACTGATGAAGCAAAAGAAATTTTTAATAAAAATAAAAAAGAAATTCAATTAGAATTACGAAATAGAATGGGATTAATTGTAGAGTCAAAACAGGCTACGGAACATCAAATGATGGAAACACAGCTAAAAAATTTTTCTCTAAATTTGAATTAGCTTCTAGTATTACTGGAGTTAACACAGAGTTTATAAAAAATTTGTACATAATTTTATGCATTTTATCAAGTGGTAAAACCATAAATTTGTTAACATTTAAAGATCTTCTACAAAAAACTCAGGAAATTTATATAGTACATTACTCATGGTACAATATGCCAGCAACTTTACATAAAATACTGATTCATGGATGTGAAGTTATACAACATTTCAATATACCAATTGGCCTTCTATCCGAAGATGCAATAGAAGCAAGTCATAAAGAATTTCGAAAACACCGATTAAACCACACTAGAAAATCATCAAGAGTTTCATCGAATAAAGATCTTTTAAATCATTTATTATTAGCTTCGGAACCACTTATATCTTCGGAACCACTTATATCTTCGCAAAGGAAACAAATGCGAAGGAAATCACATGCCTATGATGACATGGCGGAATATTTGATTGAAGAGAGCGTAGATTGCTCCGGTTCCGAATTTGATATAGAAAATATTACATTCAGTGACACCTCTGATGAAAGCGAATAAAGTAATTGAAATACGAGTATATGATATATGTATATATTATGAAAACTCATGAAACTTGTTATAAGTAATATATTATTTGAAACAACTCTTTTTTATACGCTTTATATTTGTAAGTAGTTGGTTTAGAAGAAGGAATTTTATGCTAATTTTTCAGATACTTTTTTATAAATATTATTTTTGCATTAAATTTCAGTAAAACTAAAAATGGGACCACGCCCATTTTTTAGAAATATGTTAACATTTTAAAAACATTTATTTGTCTAAAATTTCATTGAAATTGAATCCAATTTGTGCATTTTGATCATTCACTTTGTATGACATGTGGGCGTAAGAATGGGCGGATCACGCCCATTTTTCAGAAATATTGTCATATTATAAAAACACATATTCCTGCAAAATTTCATTGAAATTGTATCCAATTTGCGCATTTTGATCATTCACTTTGTATGGCAGGTGGGCGTAAAAATAGGCGGACCATGCCCATTTTTCAGAAACTTTTTATTATCCTTAATATAAGTCTTTATGCAAAATTTCATGAAAATAGCATAACATTTACTATTTTTGTCCGCTTGTTATATGAACACGTTACACTGTGCGATGTAATTATAAATAAATATAAAAAAAAAGTGCAGTGCAGTCCATATTAAATTTCAATTTACTCAAAGAGCGTGTGCGAATTGTTCTAATTTCATGCTAAACTAAATGGGATTTTTTACACTGCATACATTTAGCCAAAAAGTTAAAAAAAAATGTGCGAGTTGCATTTTGACAGCCAATATGTATTTCAATGTATTTTCAAAATAATCCAATATAATAAAATAAAATTTTATCAAATAAATGTTTATAATTCAAATAAAGGTAATGAAAATTTTAGAAAATACAAACATTTACAAAATTTATTGCAAATGCTCATTAAATAACATTTAATGACATACATGACATAACATACATTTTTCGGTTAAAAGTTTTCTAATAACGATTATTAAATTTTTTAATAAAATTAATTTTTATTGTCATTTCCTATAATTTGATTCACTTAAATTCATTTTTCTTATTTATAAAACATCTTATGAAAATATTAAAGTGGCAACCCTGGCGGTCTACCAATTAAGTTCGATTTAGTCATGTTGAAAATATTCTGAATACCAACATTTTACTACATTATCGACACAACTTAGAATTTTCCTTAATTAGAACGCAAATTAGATCAACTCGCACACGGCCTAAATAATATAAAATAATATTTTTCTGTCGTTTTTATGTTTTTACCGATTTTGAAAGCTGAAAACTAAACTGCAAATACTTCGCCCATAAATAAAGTTTATGATACTGTATATACTGTACTGCTCATGTACAATATTATCTGTATTTTAAAGCAATTGTGTTTAACATTTGCTTTAATCAAATGTACACTAGATTCATGAAGTCAAGTCGCAATCTATGAAACTTTTCTATATTTTGATAGATTGATTTGTTTGAACCAATTTAATATTAATAATTTAATATTGTTGTTCAAATGGTTTAATGTATTTCAGAATGATTAAGAGATTAAGCTAATAGCGCAAAATTTAGTAACTAACTATAGATACCACCTACTGAGCTATCAAAACTCTCAAAAATTATAAATGCATACTCTGCGTTTTTTTTTTTTTGTTCGTTTAACAAAGTGATTAGCTTCATTAAAACAGAAGGAGCTATTCGAACGAAAAAAGGGCGACTGCCTAACTGCGCTTTAAGAGGGCGATTTTTCACTGAATCAACAAAATTATATGTATTTCTATTATATGTATTTCTATTATATGTATTTCTATTATATGTGAAATTAATATTTGTCGAACTTATCTAGAGTAATGGGGCACAATAGACCCGACGGTCGCAGTGCGACATCCCCTAACAATAATAATCCAGAGTAATAGTTGTTGTTGACAAGGTTTTTGATAGAATCTCTGAACGATAGAAACTGCAAACTGCATATTGAGTTCTGGTGGGAAAAACTGAACGTTTTTATTTTTTTGAAAATTGGGATTATTTGTTGGTTTAAGAATTTAAAAAAAATTTCTAAAAATACCTTAAGACCTTGATATTTCACAAACGAATTATCCAAGTATGGTTTGATGTTACTATATCATTAGTTTATTCTTTAATTAATTTATACTTTAATTAGTTTATATTTTAATTATTTCATACTTTATATTATTAAATATATATCTCATTTCAATTCCAAAAACTTATTACAGACGGAATCAATCAAACATGATCTCGAATCAAAAATGGCTCAGCATAGAATCGAAGCACAAATTGAAGAAGTACAATACAATCAAACAGCAGTAATGTTACTTATTGAAACCTGCGGTCTAGTACGAGAAAATACGTCAAGAGCCGTAACAAGTCTAGACAATATGGTTATATATTTTATGAAAACGAAGGGCAGTGAAAACGACACGTCACTAATGGGTCTATTACATGTTAGTATTTTACCGAAAATAATTGCATTAAATTAATAAAATTTAATTTCAGCTTGGTGAATTATACGAATCAATACGTTGGCCCGCTACGTTGGGTTTTCTCACAATGTTGTTATTGTTATGTACTGTGCTTGTAATAGGTGTAGCAAGACGTTCACGTTGTGCGTTAATATTCTTTAGTGTTTCCGGTTTATTTTGCATCATCATATGTTGGTTATTAGCTGGCATATATTTGGCATCATCTGTAGCGGCAGGTGACTTTTGTATGCGTCCTCATGAGTTTATGTGCCGTCAAGTAGGCATGGTAAGTAAATCCACAAGTTTTATGTTACACAATATTTTATGTGTAACATAAATATGTATACCCATAATATATATTAGAAATATTATAATCAAGTTTTAAATATTGTTTGCAATAATACTTCTGTCGCAATATTTTTTTAGAAGAATACAAATACTGTTTTAGCAAGAAAAATCTAATATTGTATGAAATCCGAAATATTTTTCAATTTGCAAAACGTAATAAGCAATTTTTTTTTATTAAATTAAACTTATTTGTTACAATTTTTATTGAATCTATTTGCAAATTCTATCTCCCAGTATAAACAGACTCTATGAAAAGGAAAAGTGGTTTAGTTTATTTACTATTAGAGGAACTTGAGTGCGAGTTCGTAATGCAAGCGGCTTCACATAAAAAAAAAATTCAATGGTACCTGAGATATACGGTATCATAGAAAGTGCTGCGAGGGTTGTCTTTTAATTTTTGGGCCTAATAAACACAGTAATTAAACAGTAACAGTGATTGTTTTTTTAAAGTTTTCTCCATGATGGTTAATACTTTTTGCATTCGATCTAACTAAGTTTTGAAACAGCCACACATTTTGTTTCTTAATGTTAAATGTTTTCTAAAGTCAGGATTGTAAATTGGATGACTTATAATTTAATAATTTTGACGTTTTGAGTGCTCAAACAACTTTTGAGCTGATGTGTGGGAGCTCACATTGTCATGGTGGAGGATGATCTTGCCTTCGGCGGTTGGTTTTTCTCAATTTTCTGAAGACTATCGGCGTAAGTTTAAGTTCCCCCACTTAAACTTACATTGTTCAGGTGGTACAGTTGCGTTTTGTCTGAAACAACGCAATTATTTGGGTGGATTTGCAACTGTTGTCGGGTTCTGCTCACTTGAAAAGTCCAAAACAGTGGATTGTTTTTTTATTTCGAACATAGATCCATAATTCACCTGTCACAATGTCGTAAACGTATTTTGAACTGCCTCGGCCTCGAGAACAGCTAATTGTATATATAAAATTGAATACTGGTCCCACTAATTACCAACAACGCCTCTAACTCCCGGCATGTAACGTGCCGGATCCATTCAATCATTTTTCGCACTGCATCGATGTTGTAGCATTCCTCGTGGAGAAAACGACGAGCACGCGCGAACCATTGAACCAGCGTTTTAATGTTGCTGGATGTGTTGCTAATCCTCATTAAAAGTTGTATTGCACGAAAAGGCAGCCTACGTTTCTCAAAAAAAAAAATTCTTTAGCAAAACTTTTAGTAGAACAGAAATGATTCATTCAAATAACTTACGTCAAATGACAAGGTTTAGTGTAATATTGTAAATGAAGTATAATTTGTTCAAATAATAATAATTTTTGAACTTCAAATCTTTGATTTTTTGACTTAAATAATTAGAAATAATTGCCATATTAAGTATTCAAAGTTCAATAAATGTTCTATTTAAATTTTTGTTTTTATGTGTTAGTTCTTATAAATAAAATCCATTATTTTTGCATGAAATTGAAGATTTATTTACCATAGAAAATGTTATGTTGAGCCTTTTCCGAGTTAGTGCATCTGAGCACTTTTACTATTTGATAGCTGGGGGTTTCTGCAGAGTCTCACCCATCTCACTGACTAATTTGTATATTCCTCATAATCTTCGTGACTATTCAATGACTGATCTAAGATCTACGTACCGCCCCGTGCGGTTAGCGATTACTCTGAGATTAGATAGTGCTAAGTAGGGTAGCCTGTCGCTTTTCGCATATAGCTTCACAGCTCTGTCCCTTATGTATTTTTTGACCGGTCTCTTAGCATGGCAATCGTGTGGATGTACCATGGCACTTTGAAGAGTCTTCGGAAAGCCTGCCTTCTGAATAGTAGAGTCGGAAGCGTTGCTATACGCGACATACCCATAATGTAGTGCTGGTGTAATTATCTGGCTGTAGATCAGCTTTCTGTTCTTCGCGCTAAGGTTGTTGTGTTTGTAAAGTGGTTGTAAGCATTGTACCATAAGTACAATGATCTAGTTTAGGACAAAATGCGCCGTTTTGTTCGGTAACTTGTTGCCACTTTAAAGGTAATTTGATAATACTTCTCTCATAGAAGTCATTGTTCCAATTGGCAACCCTCTCTTGAAGCGAATTTTTCACCAGAAAACTCCTTCGTCATCGACAAGAACACTTGGTGCCAGGTCTGGACTATAAGTTGGATGTATAAGAACTTCCCAACCAAGCCCCCGGAGCTTTCGGGAAATCATTGTCGATATGTATTGCCTGACATTCTCCTGGTGGAACACAACTCCTCTCCTATTACCTAAAGCTAGCCGTTTCTAGGCAATTGCTTACTTTAGACGGTTCAACTGTTCAATTGTTATCATACAGTTCCGAGACAAGATTTTTGCCGTAGGAGAACAGCTTATGGATGTTTCCCTGCAAATCCCACCAAATACACAGCAAAACCTTCCTGACCGTCAATCTGGCCACTGTTTCAGCCTGTTCACTGCGATTCGACCAGGAAAATTTTCGATTGACGTTGTCGTAAGTGATCAGTCACTATTTTTCATCACCAGTTACCAACCGCTTAAAAAATGGGTCAATTTGTTGCGATTCAACAGTGATTCGCAGATGGAAATTCGGTCTATGAGGTTTTTTTGTATTAACTCGTGTGGCACCCATACGTCGAGCTTGTGGCGGTTGCATATTCACCATTTAACATTGAAAATAATATGAGTTGGCCATGCAAACATAAACAAATAAAATATTGAAAATGAAATGAGTTGGTCAGGCAGAAGAATTTGTAAAAAGCTAAGAATATTTTTATTTAGAAAAAGATGATTGTTATTCGATTGCCATTCGTACACGTATAATTATTTTACTCGAAATTAAATTATTTTAAGTAAACAAATAAACAATTGAATTAAGTGGGGCAAAGCCTACAAGCTTCTTTTTATATCGGGCCTTTTTTAAATGGTTAAAATAGTTTTTTGTGCAATATTTAGCTCTTAAGCAATCGAAATTGTTCTTACATGTCAATCGGATTGGACTGACTCAACAATTTTCGACAATTGGCCTTCG